ATAATGATAATGATAATGATAATGATAATGATAATGATAATGATAATGATAATGATAATGATAATGATAATGATAATGATAATAATAATAATTATAATTATAATTATAAAATACATATCTACTCCTTATTCTAACCACGAGAATTAGCCCAGAAGTCGAACCACAACTTTCATTACATCCAATTATCTCGGGAGTGCATAGTCCAAATAGGGGGGTTGCCCAGTTCGTCACCAATATTTTAACTGCGGCATATAATAGTGATAATCCTTTTTTCGTTACTGATTCATTCAACTTTTCAAAATTTATCAATGACAGAATAATAGGCATATCTAAGTTAAAGTATTTTTTGCTGTAATCCAAAATAGTTTCATACAAAAACAAGTTCATATGTAGGTACTAAAAAAATACTCAGGTAAAAATATTTATAAGGTTTAAAACATCAACAGTTACTATGTAAAAAAGTGTCTACAAATCTCTTCACCTAAATAAAACTCATTATTATTCTTCATCGGCACCTATTGCGCCCTCTGTTAGCTGAAAGTTAAACTTTTTATATTCATCACAGTTAAAAACCATTTAACGTTTGTGTTAGATTTTCGTTTATAATGCTTCGATTTTTTCAATTTTGCTCATGTAAATAACTGTAGTATCATATTAAATAATAAAAAAACTTAAGTTATTAACGCAAATATACCTGTAAATTGTTTTTAAAATTATAGATTTTAATTTTTTTCAATACAATCTTCTATAATTTAACGTAGAAATACAGTCCATCTGAAATATAGTTAGATTTTGAGTAATTTTTGTAATATCAAATTTTTCCCTACATTTACTTGTTTTCGAGATATGTCGACTTCAATATGCAATGTATGATATAAAAGGAAAATCTATTATTTTATCTAAATCACACCGACACAATATATTCTTTTAAAATATTGTTATAATAACTTTATTAACACCACATACTAACTAACAAACAATAAATTATAACAAAACAAATGACCAACTACAGAAAAAAAATTGTACAATGGTAAATCGTATGACTAGTATAGTTAAACTGAAAGACGCAAACTGAGAAATCTGTAATTATTGGAAAACTAATATGTGTCATCTGTCATTGTTTTATTTTAAACAAATGACATGAGCCACCTATGACTGCATTTTTTAGTAACATTTGATATAATGTGATTCGTCTCTGATCCTTATACGATTTACCATTCTACAATTTTTTTTCTGTAGTTGATCATTTGTTTTTTTATAATTTATTATTTATTAGTTAGTATGTGGTGTGAATAAAGTCATTATAACAATATTTTAAAAGAATATATTGTCTCGGTATGATTTAGATAAAATAATATATTTTCCTGTTATATCATACATTGCATATTGAAGTCGACATATCTCGAAAACAAGTAAATATAGGGACAAACTTTATATTACAAAAATTATTCAAAATTTAACGATCTTTCAGATGGACTGTATTTCCACGTTCCAGGGAACAAAAAAATTTTTAGTGTCGCCACGCCATCTACAGGGTGGTCCGAATTTTATGCAGGAAACTTCGAGGGTAGATAGATCTCTTTAAAATAATATGTGTTTGCCTTATAAACATAGGTCTGGAACGGCCCCTTTTTGGAGATACAGGGTGTTGGGGTTATAAAAAAAATTGATTTTTTGTTTATATTGCACGCTACGGTGGTGTAGAAAGGAGTGTAAATAATTTTGTTGATCTGCTTACAAATTGCACTTACTTTTAAACAAAAAAATATTCTTGTAATATTATCGTTAGAAGTGTCTGCCACAAGGGGATTGTATTGGTATGAATAACTTGAGAACAGCGAATCTTAGGGAAACAATTAAAGTCACCTTTTTTACGTATTTTATGCATTAAAATATAAATCAGTTACAATGACATGTAAAAAATGCAGTGGCATAGGTTTTTTTGTAAAAAAGGGGTGACCCCTGTCCAGTTGTATACTACTGGTTGAACCTCTAAAGCTCACATTTCAGGGAATATAAGGCCTACTATCATACATTATATGTACCAAATTTTATTGAGATCGGTTAATATATTCCGGAGATATAAACAAAAAATCTTTTTTTTTTACAACTTCAACACCCTGTATCTCTAAAACTGTGCCGTTGCAGACCTATATTTATAAGGCAAACGCATATTATTTTAAAGAGATCTATCTCGAAGTTTCCTGCATAAAATTCGGACCACCCTGTATACAGAGAGATTTGAAGTAACAATTCCAACTACAATTTGAAGCTGTTCGAGGGATCTTACAACCCCAATTTCCGAAACTAAATATAAATATATATATCAGCTCTGCAGATCTAGTAGGCCTATGGCTTGCTTTACAATTTTTCTCCAGTTCTCTGCATCCACTGAGTGATGTTTGCTTTTTCTATGTCCCTTTCCACCTAATTTTTCCATCTAATTTTTGGTCTTCTACGTCTCCTTCCTCCAATACCGCTTTCTATTATTCTGTGTGGAGTTCTATGTCTCGGCATTCTTATTATATGACCCATCCATCTAAGTCTTTGGGTTTAATTTAAAGAGCAAACAAAACAAAATTAAAGTAAAAATTCAACTTAATTACTAACATACCGTCCCTTCAAAAGGCATAAGCGTTTTTTTTTTAATCACTAGCACTAGTTTTACAAGGGGACGTTAAGAAATCCCAACATAACTATTGTTAGGAGATTGAGTTATAATAAAACTAAATTGTAATGCGTGAAAAGTGTCTAATTTATTACATCAACATTAAGTACTAATACCATCATATAATGCAACTGCAAGCAATAAGTTTCTTCTACTAAAGTGTAAACCAATTATTGGTGAATTTTTAGTTGTAAAACTTCTGAGCAAATAATCATTTCCAGTTTTAACATCTGGATTATGTGAGACGTTAACTTCTTCAGAATTAGTGTCTTCTGTTAGTTTCGTAAAATCCCATATGTTCAACGAACAATCCAAACCAGCAGATATCAAGATATTTCCACATCTGCTAAATGCAAGACAATGAACTGTTTTTTCGTGACCAATTAATTGAGCTATGAGATGCCCGTGTGATAAATCCCAAATAATAACTCTGCAGTCCGTTCCACTTGACGCTAAAAATCTCCCACACATGCTAAATGCTAATGTATGTATTGGTGATTTATGACCAGTCATTAAACGAACGTGATTTCCTGTTATACAGTCCCATAAACAAACACGACGATCACTAGATCCTGTTGCTACATAATTTGAATTGGGATGGAACTGTATACACTGAAACAAATAGATATTATAAAATTCTTTAAAATTGAAAATTATTTTATTACTTTACTTTAAAGGTATTAAGCTAATTCAAATTAATTCTAACAAATTGTAAAAAATTAAATTGTTTAATTAAAATACTTCTTATTTCTTTAAGCATAACATATTTAGTATCAATATAGAAATATATGAATACGTAATATACTAATTAATAAGAATTTTCAGAAATTTTTCAGAATTTGATTTGGCTTAATACCTTTAAAATATTTTAAGAACAGTTAATAATAAAAAATTATTAAAAAAGTATATTCTGCAAAAAGGACAAATGTGTTGGAATTTAATACGTAGAAAAATCATAATTTGTATATTTCATTGTTTCTTAGTTCTCTATTTTATATATAAATTAACATTCAGATATCTTTTACTTGAATTTTAAAAAGAAGGCCACTCGAAAAAGCTAACCTTAAAGTGTAAAAGGTTAGATTTTATCTATCATGACTAACTACATGTTGATCTCTATCTAAAGTGACTTACATTATTTAATGATTTTAGTCCGGTCAAATTAGTCATAAAAATAGTGGTCAAATAACGTACATTTCGACAGTGCTAAACTTTGGTGGAGACCTTGGGTACACCGATAGAAATAAAGTGTCAAAAGGCCCCACCGATCCCATGTGTGCTAAAAAAGTTATTCGGGGTCAAAGGTCAAAATTTCGTCACGATCTACATGGTATGCACATCTATGCCACGTATATACATAGTCAGGCACTTAATGCAAGTAAAAATAGACGACACTATACTCGACGGCCAAAATTATAGATAGTGATTCTTCGCCAGCTCTTGGACTAGTAAGGGGGATGAAGCGTGCCGGGAACGAAAATCCATTGGCGTGTCTGCGTAAAAGGCAACAAGATATAGAAAATATTGAAAAAACATAATAAAACATAACATCTAATATTTTTTACGGTTTTTTTAATTTATAAATTTATTATAGCCATGGAATTAGACCCCTCGTCTACGCTTATGCTATGACGTTTCTCAGGTCGGGCAAATCAAGTCCGTTTACACCCACTAAAAAAGCATTTCCCTATTCCCTACCAAGTGCAAAAGACAGAGATAAAATATAGATCGACGTTCAGTGTAACTCAGTCTATACACGATTATAGATTCTACCGATGTGCATGGCGAGCGGCACAAAGATAAATAATATTGAACCGTATAGAAATCATTTTATATTTTATACGCACTATGGCAATAATGTTTTTATATTATGTATTAGTCACTCTTTATAATTTCGGCCGCCGAGTATAATTGTAACAAGACTTCGCAGCGTTGCCAACTTAACATATCTAGTTACTTACCAAAGTCAGTTTAATGTCAAAGTGGTGTCGCGGTAAAATTTAAAATACTTTGTAGATAGTTCTCATTAAATAAAATAATACTAAAGTAATAAAATGAATGCATAACGACACCTAATAATAATAAATTAAGCGTAAAATTTTGTGGTACTTTTTTAAAGACTAAAAACGTTGACTGAAATATTGAGAAGAATATTTCAATCAACACCAAAATATTTTTTTAGGTTAGAAAGAATACACAAGGTATATTTTTTTTACCGTGGCAATATTCCTTAATGATTATCTTAATATATACGTAAAAATGTTAATGTACTTAGGTAAAACAACAATTGTGCTGTATCAGGAATTAAAAGGTCGATGAAGAAAAAATTAGAGGGCAGTCCAGATGAATAGATCAGAAGGATCAGTAGTTGCAGTTTGACAATGATTTCACAATCACAACAATCAACAATCAACCCCTGGCTGATAACACCGCTGCATTATTTTTTAGATTATTTTAAACGTACAATAATTATTTTAAAAAGGACTGTATGATTTAGTATTAGATAGCTAAGCAACGAAAACCTTGTATTTTTCTTTTTCTCCTAAAAAATTTTAGGGTTCTTTTCATTTTCATAAGGTTATGATTGTATTATAACTATACTTTATTTTATAATATCGATATATTTATCAATTAAAATGTAATTTTTAGGAAAAGTGTAATATTAAATACAAATTAAAAGATATAATACCTAGTTAGATTTTTATTTAGATTCATTTACAGACATTCTAGACTTATTGCTATACAAAATGTTTACTAATGAATTTTTCTGATGGTAACAGAAAAGCCAATGTATGTAAACAAAAGCAATAACATTTGGTAAAAATGATACAAAATATAAATCAATATACTCAAGATATAATGTAGATACGGAAAATAAAAAAATATATAAACGATATTTATGTTCTATTATTGATAAAAAATATATGATGTGCAAGTCGGAGACGCTTTCATTATAATCAATGTAGCTATAAAAAATAACAAATACAAATGTGAATGAATGGCACTTTCCTTAAGTTTTCTATAATCCATAAACTATTAAAATATAAACAAACGAACCTTATTTAAAGTGAGGTTATTTTACCTCCACCAGAAACTCGTGAAACTCAATTGATACCAACTAAATTTAAACAATAAAATTTGGTAAGCAACTAAAATAATTGAAACAGCAATAGAATTTAATGCAACAAATACAACTATTGTAACTGGTGAAGATGTTGACTTATTAATACTACTCACTGCAAGGACTCCAACTGATAAAATGATATACTTTTTAAAACCTGTAAAGGCTCAACAGCGAACAGAAATATATTCTTCAAAAAGTTTATCTGCTTATCCAAAATGCCAAAACCATATCTTATTTTTACATGCGATAACCGGTTGCGATACTACATCAGCAATGTTCAAAAGGGGTAAAACATCAGTATTAAAATTATTTGGAAAAAAGATTTGATTGATTGATATTAATAGATAATATATATATANGACGAAATTTTAGTATTAGATTCAGAAAACAACCACAAAAAAAGAAAATTTTTAGAGATGTGTCATATTGCAAGGGAAGTTAATCCAATGAATGCAATGACTGATATCGATGGTCTCAGCGTAATTTATACTTTTTTATTAAATCAATATTTTAATAACAGGGACAATCTTTTAGGTGACACCTTGTATAGCGGTATGTAACTTTTGTTGTTATTTTTGTTCCATAATCTAACTAATTAATAGTTTAAAAATTTTTGGTAGAGTTTCCCCGTTCTCCGTATAAGTATTAAGGGAACAAAAACTTTAATATTTTTTCACTTTTTTCCTCCTTATCTGATATTCGTACCTAAAAGACAGGCGACATTGTTCATTTTGTTTGATTTCGGCTCTAGTCTACCGTTGTTATGAATTTTAAAAATTTTGATATTTGTACAATTTTTCGTTTTTAAACCTGTGATGTTGTTAATTATTTGTATTGACGACCTATGTCCGCTGTAGGTGTACCTATTATGTTGGCTAACTTCAATGTAATTCTCGCATATTTTTTCCTGATGAAGAAACAAAATATAGTTTCGAAAGCTTGAAAATTTAAAAGAGTGTAACTTTTTTATCCTTGGCTGCATCCCCGTCTAAGAAAGAAATTTGGTTTATATATATATATTGTAACAAGTAGAAATTGAAGTAAGAGTTTTAAGTATAAAATCTAATAGAAATTAAGTTGAAATACAATAAATAATGACATATTAGATATATGGTGACAAGATAATAAACATGATTTGGTTGACAGCGGGATGAAATTTTGACAGTATAATATAATAGGAAAATTAGAATGAAATCTCAGTATAAAGGAATCAAAAGTGTCCACAAAATAAGGTAATGTAGTTAAAAAAAGAATAAAAGGGTATTAAATTTGGTCAATTAAAAATGTATAAATTATAGTTATCTGACTGGATATAAGAGTGCGGTGAAAGAAATAGGGTTGTTGACCAAATTTCAAAAAGTAGATAATATAATTCTACACGTACTAATTAGTGTGTATCACAGAGTACCAACCAGAGATCCGAGTTGATAGGGAAAAGTTGTCTCTGTTTTTTATCTTTCTCTGAACCTTATTAAACGCAATACTACTCTCTTTGTCGCTTTAAATGTAAAACGGAGGTAGGTGGAGCTAGTGCTCGTTCTCGGTATAGAAGAAACTTGAAATGGGTTTGGGAAATAATAATGTTTCTGATACAATTTGGTACGTGGCGCTAGGTGGAAAATATTGATGAGATTAAATTTTTTGAATTTTATAAAATTCGACAGATGGCCAGATAAAAAAACAAGAAGTTGATAAATTCAAAAAACGTTCAGTAAAACTTATATGGTTTACAGAAATTAGTTTAATAGCAATGAAAATAATATTATTAACATTATGACGATCGCATTTTATATAACCTACGCTTAGGTTGCAGGTAAGTACGTAAGTAAGTAGTTTATATATAGCGTTGATATTTGTGTTGTATAGTATTTTTTCAGTGCCCATTATTGTATTGACTGTTAATTTAATGTTTAAGTGTTTGAGCGTGAGAAACTTTTGGTTTTCCATTTTTTTGACACTTGTGACAATGACATTATATTGTATTATTTGTGGAAGATGTGAAAAAATTATTCTGTTTTCCACGAAACTCAGAGAAGTGAGAATTATGCATAATTTTTATTTTGACAAATATACATATATGTATATTTTTCCTTGATGATATAAGTAAACTTGTTACTATAAATATGCGAAAAAAAAATCTCATCAGTAATCGAAAAATATATGATAATTTAACTACTGAAAAAAAATATCTATCTGTTATAAATTATAAAATATGATAATTATTTACTACAGCGTAAAACTCTCAAATCATAATAAAAATATATTCCACTAATAATATATAAAAGAGTAGTTAGTACTTATTATATTTATATCTTATTTAGGTATGTCTAATATGTCAGTATATATAATTTATTGTATTATATTTTAGATCCAAAATCTGGCAAAAATCCCTTGGTATGATATATCAGGAAAAATTATCTGCACATATACGACTTTGTGATAAGCATTTTGAAAAAAAAATCTTTTAGCTACATATAAAAGTTAAATATATTGATAATAATAAGACTCAGTGTATTATTTTTACCATGTCTAAATAAAAAATTTAAAAAGAAAAAACATGCTTACATGTTACTGCACAAGATTTTACGCAAATTTTTGTATAAAGTAGGTTGAGATATTTCCAACCTGATACTTTATATAAAATTTTGCAGAAAATCTTGTATACTGGTAATAGGATTTAAAGAATATTTCAAAATTCCCGCTATGTGGCATACCGCGCCATCTACGTAGGTTTTACATTAAGAGCGAGAGAGTAAAATGATATAGCTCTGTCTCTTGAACTACAATTACACGTTCACTTGGTCATCTGGTTGGTAATCTGTGGTGTGTATGCACAATTAGAGATTGAGAAATGCGTCGAAACAGCTTTAAAATAATTATTTAAAACTGATTTTTTTATAATATTTCAAAACGGCTGTGATATCATAAGGGGCACCTTGTAGTGAAATTATGTGTAAATGATTGCGTAAAGGAAAAAAATTGGCGGAAGAAGATGCTCTGTCAACACTCTCAGTAGTGTCAGTCTGTCAGTGACATTGTCGCATAAAATATTTTCAAGTCTACGAGTTACGAGTTATCTTCCTTAATCTTCGAATGCCTTTATTAAGTAAACTTATTATTTAGTATAATCATTTAATATCTTCCTTCCCTTAGAATTAAAGCAGAATGTGTGAAACGGGATTTGTGAAAGCTACTTCGCAAATTTTACCGAAAATTTATATTTTTATGATCATGAATTGAATTTTTAAAAAGAGACGACCGTTTTAATATTGGCGAAATCAGAGGTATAAAAGCAGTCAGGTAAGGATTAACATATTTAATGAATGATTTTATTGTGTTAATTTATACTATAAATACCTACTTATTTACGGAAAATTATAGTGCCGTTCGGGAGTCTTATGGAGATAATGCAATTGGTTATGTGGAATGTGGAACAAAACACCACTTAAATTTTGTTGAGTCCATTACAATCAGGAAATTAATAATAACTATCACAAATACTCTTAATTGATAGACTGCTGTCACTAGTGTCACTACTGTCACTTTTGTGACAACAGAAAACAGGACATTAGGCGTTTTCTTTTACTCTATAACTTTAGATCGAGATCCAAATATATTGGATAACGATTAACAAATCCGGTTCCAAATAGATGCTATCAAAAGAACAAGAGGAAATTACAAACTGATATTTGACTTTTGTTTTTACATGACATAACCTAAAAATAAATTAGCAATTACAGGTTATAAGAAGCAATTCAATTTAGGAAAGGGTTTAATATGGAGAGAATAACGATGGTAAGTAAACAAAATTGATTTATTTACAAAAAAAAACATGTTTCTTTTAGGCGGAATTGCTGCAGCCTGTTGAAAAACTTTTTTATGGATGTAGTAGCAGTAGTTCAAGTTCAGATGAAGAAATATATCACACAAGAATTAATTTTTATGTTGAGACAATTGTTAAACAATATTCCGACTTAGATTTTAAAAGTCACTTTAGAATGGAAAGGAGAAGTATAAATGTTTTAATAGAACTTTACACCACATACTATGAATATAGGAAAGGAGGGAGGCCACAAATTTCTCCAAAAAAAGCTGTTCTTATAACTGTCTGGTATCTTGCCAATTTGGAAACCTTTCGCCAAATAGCCGATAGATTTAATGTGACGTTAAGCTGTGCACATAATATAATTAAATGTGTAACTGAAATTTTAGTTGAATTTGGTTCTCATTATATAAGGTGGCCAAATGAAGAGGAGGCCGAACTGGAGAGTAATGTTTTCAGAGAAAGAAAAAATTTACAAAATATAATAGGAGCAATAGATGGTACCCATCTGAAAATCAATAGACCTCAAGTTCATGAAGAAGATTATTGCAATCGAAAAGGATTTCATAGTTTCACACTGCTAGGTGTTGTGAATTCTAAGCTGCAGTTTATTGATATACACATTGGTGAACCAGGCTCTATGCATGAAGCAAGAGTTCTACGGAGGTCATTGTTATATAGAAGGAGTTATGAAGACACAAGTGTATTATTCTTTAATAAATATAAATTGTTAGGAGATTCTGCATATCCATCTTTACCATGGCTCGTAACACCTGTAAAAGACAATGGACATTTGAGTATTGAGGAGAAAAACTTTAACTACATACACTCATCCACCAGAATTGTAATAGAAAATGCCTTTGGTCATGTAAAGAGAAGATTTCGCCGTTTGCAAAAATTTGATAATAAAGCCATATCGTTTATGGTAAATTGTGTAACGTGATGTAAATAATGACTTATTTTTAGATGAAGAATAAATATTACCTATTAAATGAAATGTTGTTTTGTGTTATAATCGGAGACATTTTTCCTTAAGCTGATACATTGTTCATAGCTCAAAAGTAATAAAAAATTACCTGACTTATAAAAAAATCCAAGTCACTTGTAGTTAATTTTTACATACTAATTGGTGTTTATGCATTAAATTTTTTTCTCGACTGGACTCTATAATATTTTTTATACCCTAACAACTTCTTATAAAGGTTTCAAAACAACAAATAGTTTTCTCTCAAGAACCCAGGGCCGGCTTTCACAAAATTTCCAGTTGCAAACATCAAATTCCCTGATTCATGAATATTTTTAAAATTCCCTATTCCCTGCTTTTTATGAAGAGTAACGAATTCCCTAACTTTTCCTGGACACTACGAACCCTGTGATGGCTTATTTAGGACTTCATTTACTGTCAAAATAATATTTAATAGTTAAAATATTTTCATAGTAAATTGAGAACAAGGTGCATGGTTCTGCAGCCTGTAACAAAACCATCATGACTAAAGCATTAGCTATTTTGCCTCGGTAGAATTTGATTCTGCCATTAGAATACAATTATGTACTTCACTCTTAAATTAAACGTCAGTGAACAATAAAAATCTTTATTTGCTACTTACTGTCTCAAAATTAATGCAACATAGAGCAAGAGAGATTTCATGCATCAAAATATTGAATTTAACCTTATTTGAAAAAATATTGACTTAGTTAAAAAAAAAAATAGCAACAGATCAACTCTTGGTAAGTGTTAATACAATACTTCAAATATGTAAAATTAACATAGTTTCCTCTCTGATAAATAGGCAAAAACAGATTTTCCTTGTTTTTCAAAACAACATAACAAAAGCCACATCTATAAATTATAGGTACAATAAAACAAGTAAAATAAATTAGTTACTCTTTTCTGACAATTTCTTTAAATACTTCTCTAACAATTCTAATTTTTTTCTTCAACTGCTAATCTTCTCTTTTCTAATTCTACAAGTTCTGTATGTCGTTGCTCTCTTTGTTGCATCTTCTGTTTTGTAATGCTTATAGATGTATTTTCTTTACGTTTTTTAGGAGTAGGGCAAATATTTTCTGTTTCACTGTCAACAGATACACTAATAGGAGAATTTACAGTATCACTGTTCTCATCGAGTTTTGATAATGTTGCACTATCGCATGCCGGTAATACATCAGAATTAACACCCATTTCTAATATACTTGAAGATGATGGATTATTAGAAGGTTTATCACCAACGATTTCTTCTAATTTTTCAAAGTATTTATAATTTTGTGCACCTCTACCTGTTTTTCGAGGGCCTTTGTTATCTTTAATTGCACGGTAAACTCTCATTAAATTTGTCCATTTTCTTTCCAGTTTATCTACTTCTCGCTACAAAACATATTATTATTAGCTTTGTTCAAGCAGCATTTCTGGATTGGTTTCAATCTGTCAATTTTTGAACAAATAAATTTTACTTTTATGTTCGCTAAAGACATAGTAGCCATTTAGATTGCCGAATACTTTTGAGAGTTTGAAACAATCAACAACTCGCTGTTTTAACAAACTTAATATGTAAATATAATGACAGCTACAAGAATTACTTATTGAAATTTTCTACTTACATAGTATTTGTGGGCTGCCATTTCTTCTGCAATCAGTGTCCACACATGTTTACGTTTTTTTGCATGTTTAAAATCTTCTTTGTGATTGTCATACAGCGATATGGACACCTCTAAATTTTATCAATAAACTCACCTGAATTAGCTCGTATGCATTCTTGCTCTGTTACAAACATAGTAATAATTTCACCACTGCACTCCATTGCAAGTCTATTTTTAGGTTCACACATTTTTTATTTAAAAAAAAATATTTCCAATCTAAATCTTTTTGTGCCTCTTCCTTTTATTTTTAGGTTAGATAACACCACAACACACGTTCCGAACAATCCTATCATAAAATATCTTTGATTCAGAGGGGAAAGGGGATTACCGATCATAATCCCGACAAACCTGTAGGTGGGGATGAATCAAATATCAATAGAACAACGTAATTGGAATCATAACGCGATAAAACGTGCTTAGATCGTATATTTCGTAGTAAAAGAAAACAGCTAAGGTTTGACGGACAATTTTGATATATTTTCTTGTTCTTCAAAATTATGCAATACGATCGCTACTAGCTTCTTGTTCAATTGCCCCTTAAGACGTCAGACTAGTTTTTAAGTAGCACAAAAATTCATAAATGATTTCTACTAAGACTCGGATTTAATATCGACTAATCGATTAGTCGATTAGTCGACTAGTCGATATTCGCGGTTTCTGAAATTTTAATAACCGACTAATCGACTAGTCGATATTCGTGGTTTCTGAAATTTGAATAACCGACTAGTCGAATCTAGTTGACTAGTCAATTAATTGAAACAATTCGATTAGTCGACTAATTGACTAATAGGATTTTTCTGGTTACATGAATTTTAGTTACCGATTAATCGAACCTATTGACTATATTTTACTTTTTAAATTTACTACTTATACATGTAATGAAGGTAAATAACAATAAAAAAAGCCATTTAGAAAACAAATATATTTATTTTAATAAAGAACAGAAAACAAGTAAATAAAGACAAATTCTACCTATATCAAAATATTGAAA